CTGATGCAGGGCGGGAAGATGACATCATCTTCAGCTGTGTGACATCCCTACTGTGGCCATGTGAGGGAGCTGAAGGCTAAGGTGCTCCCTGTATGCTCTGCCTGCCCAGGCCAGGCCACCCAGCCCAGAGGTCCAAACACTGGACCCCCAGGGGAGTCCCCCCCAGCACTCCAAGGTAGGAGGCTGGGGGATTATATTAAAAACTAGTGTTAGGTGTGTGTGAGGTGTTGGTGTGAGTGTTGGTGTGTCTGCTGAGTGAGAGGTGTTAGTGTGTGTGAGTGTTGGGAGTGAGTGTTAGTGTGTGTGTCTGCTAGTGAGTGTCAGTGAGTGTGTTACTGTGTGTGTCTTACTGAGTGTGTGTGTGTTGGTGAGTCTGTTTGATGTCTGTTAGTGAGTGTGTGTTTGTCAATGAGAGTGTATGTTTTGTAAGTGAGTGTGTATGTATGTCTGTCGCTGAGTGTGTCTCTGTCAGTAAATATGTGTGTCTGTTAGCTAGTGTGTATGCGTCTGTAAGTGTGTGTGTGTGTCTTCAGCACTTACCTTTCTCCAGCGCCGGACTCCCTTGGCGCTGGGGATCCCTCATCCAGCTCAGTCTTTGACAAAGTACCTGCGCCCAACCGCCCAACTGGAAAAGGAAAAGGGAGCTAAAACTTACCTTTTCCAGCGCTGGTAGAAAACTCCTCTTCGATCCTCCTCTTCTCCTCCGTGGAAGCTGTATACTTGCTTACTTTGTCCAGCCGGTCCTCAGAAAGCATTCATAATACTCCTATGAACTAGCGTCTCACTGTGAAAATCACAGTAGAAACACGCTTATAGCGGCTTCATCAATGAGACGGCAGCTAAATAGAAAACCTTATTCATAAACATAGCAGTTTCTCTGAAACTGCTGCTAGTTATGAAAAAATGGGTTAACCCTAGCTGGACCTGGCACCCAGACCACTTCGTTAAGCTGAAGTGGTCTGGGTGCCTAGAGTGGTCCTTTAAGTGTGTGTGCATCTGCATGCACTGGCGTACATACCGCGGTAGCAGGGGTCGCAGCCCTGTAACCCCTGCGACCAGGTGCCCACCGCCATGTGTTGCGGCCCGGCCCACGCGCGCGGGGGGGGAGGGGGCCCACTGATCAATTTTCGCACCGGGGCCCCATGGGTCATGTGTACGCCACTGGCAAAACGCCTAAAGGTAAAGATTCTACTCACCAGAACAAATATAATAAGCTGTAGTTGTTCTGATGACAATAGTGTCCCTTTAAATACATAAAGGGAATCAACACAGTAAAGGAGGAGACTATATTTAAAAGAAGAAAAACTACCACAACGAGAGGGGCAAAGGTTTAAAAATAATATCAGGAAGTATTTTTACTGAGATGGTAGTGGATGCATGGAATAGCCTCCCAGCTGAAGTGGTAGAGGTTAACACAGTAAAGGAGTTTAAGCATGCATGGGATAGGCATAAGGCTATCCTAGACTTAAGATAAGGCCAGGGGCTAATTAAAAGTATTTCGAAATATTGGGCAGACTAGATGGGCCGAATGGTTCTTATCTGCTGTCACATTCTATGTTTCTACTTTGTCTCATGTTTTAAAGAAAACTGGATTAGATAGGAAGAAACATATAACAGATCCTGAAAGAGGGAGAGAAGAAGTGATTAGAGAAAAGGTAAGTTCGGCATGACAGTGCCGCTTTAAAGACCAAAACATACACAAAATACAGTTAAAGCAACAGTGTACACACAAACAAAAATAGTTTTACATTTAACAAAAGTACTTAAAATCACCTATCTTAGCAAATAAATATAGTGATCCAGTTCCACCATATGACCATATTGTGTTAAGCCCCTCACTACGTCACAGTACCCCAATATCGGTGGGTCCTGCACTAATTTTAGCACCGGAGATTTACATGCTAATTTGCAGTACTTTCAATATAAACTGCTTCAAGAGTCTCCCCAATTTAACTTTTTCTGTGGTCACCTCCAAAGGGGCACCCATACGCTGTACGCTAACCTTTTCTGTTTATTCACTGGATTAACTAAAGCGTCATTTTTATTGCAACAAAAAACATATTACTATTACAGTCCTCTGTAAACAAAAATACATAAAACACTCGTCTTTTATAACTACAATCAAATTTGCCGCGAAGAAAAATCAGCTGTGCCTGTTACTTCCGGGTTTCGGCTTCGGTGTATTTCCGGATACGCCCCTATTGCGTTCCGGAACTTCTGTCCAAGCCTCACTTTGAAGTTCATCTAATTGAACGGAAGTCCAGACGAATGTGCGTTCCATTTTGCGTTCCATAAAAAATAAATAATAAATAATAAATAAATAACAAAAATAATCAAATAAAATTAAAAATAAAAATAAATAAATATCAAAATAAGAATAAAAATAAAAATAAAAAAATAAAATTAAAAAATAAAAATAAAATTAAAAATACAAATAAAAATAAATAAAATAAAGATAAAAATAAAAATGAAAATAAAATTAAAAATAAAAATAAATAATAATAAAAAGAAAATCATAAAAAACAAACCAAATCAAAATCAACATTTAGACCCCTCGGTTTCATAGTTTGCAATGTATGAATCCAATAGCCCTCTCTTTTTCTTAGGGCCATCATCAGATCTCCACCTCTCTCATTTAAAATTACCTGCTTTTTGTTATTTATTTATTTATTTATTTATTTTTATTTTTTTTATTTTATTTATTATTTATTTTTTATTTTCTATTATTAGTATGTATTATTCCCCTTTTTCGAAATTAGGTGATACTCCCCCCTTCTCTATATATTTGTATATATGATTACACATATGTTTATTTCTTTTTTTTTTTATATATTACGATGTGCTCTGGGGATATATGTGTCTAACCCCGAGAATGGAACGCAAAATGGAACGCACATTCGTCTGGACTTCCGTTCAATTAGATGAACTTCAAAGTGAGGCTTGGACAGAAGTTCCGGAACGCAATAGGGGCGTATCCGGAAATACACCGAAGCCGAAACCCGGAAGTAACAGGCACAGCTGATTTTCTTCGCGGCAAATTTGATTGTAGTTATAAAAGACGAGTGTTTTATGTATTTTTGTTTACAGAGGACTGGATGCCCCTGATGAAGTTCATTTTATGAACGAAACGCGTAGGGCTTGTTTCTTATATGCGGAGTATTTGTTTTTATAGATGTTTAAATGTATTTTATCTTATTTGGTTATTCTGCTCTTCTGATCCTGAGACTGGTTTGCAGCTTCAGCTGAGTTTGATGTGCCTTTTTGATACATCTTTCTTGTAAGTGTACCTTGTAATAAATTTTGCTAATTTTATTTAAGATACTCTGCACTATTATTATTTTCTATTCTTCCTCTTATACATGGGATTGACGTTCCACAAATCGAGAAGTCCATACATCGTTATTTATGATATGCCTGCAATCAAATTGGGTCTGTGAGTGTAATCATTTATTTCTAAAAATTCCCAATACATTACGTTACTATTCTATGTCCGTTTCTATTATTTTGTGTTGTAGATTGCCTTCTGGTAGTATATCAATAATTGCAGGGCGGGGCAAGGCTTTATAAGCCTTCCCCCGCCCTGCGGAGCTCAGTCTGCGCGGAGCCCTCCATGGGTGAAGATGGATTATTTTTTTGCGCTCGGGATTTTTATTTTATTTTCAATTCGACGGTTATGATGGTTTTTTTATTTGGCCTTTTTTGGGGCTGAAAAAAGAAGATTTGAGAAAAAAGAAGACGTCGAATGGTAAGTTTAATTTTATTTTACAGGTTAGTTATTTTATCCCCCCCTCACTATTTTTTAGGGTGAGGGGGGTAGGTAGGGACTTTTTTTTTTGGGTGGGGGGTGGGTGACTAGGGGCTTGGGGACCCCTAGTCACCTTGGGGGGAGGGGGGTAATTGACTTAGGGCCCCCACCCGCCGCCCAGGGGTGGGGGCAGGGGGGGGAGGACAGTAGGTCCCCCCCCCTCATCTTCATGGCCCCCACCCGCCGCCCAGGGGTGGGGGCCGGGGGGAGGACAGTAGGTCCCCCCCCCTCATTATCTTCATGGCCCCCATCCGCCGCCCAGGGGTGGGGGCCGGGGGGGCAGTAGGTCCCCCCCCATTCTCATTATGGCCCCCACCCGCCGCCCAGGGGTGGGGGCCGGGGGGGCAGTAGGTCTCCCCCCCTCATTATTGCCGCCGCCCGAGGGGGGCAGTAGGTCCCCCCCCATTCTCATTATGGCCCCCACCCGCCGCCCAGGGGTGGGGGGAGTACTGCCCCCCCCCCTCATTCTCACTGTTTAGGGGTGGGGGCCAATAGTTTTTTTTTTTACAGTGAGCAGCCACAGGCTGCTCACTGTTTAGTAGACATGCCCCTACTCGCGGTATAGCGAGTAGGGGCATTTGGGAGATTTTAATCTCCCTTGTGCTATTATGGGGGTCATATTGACCCCCATAGAGTGAGAGGGGGTACTGGGGGGCTTATGAAGTGGTGGGGAGCAGTGCTCCCTGCCGCTTCTATAGTTACATATTACAAGGAGGGAGCTGCACGCCGGTAGCTCCCTCCTTGTAACAACCTGCACGAACAAACTAACACTGATACATTGTGTTAGTTTGTTCGGCTGATATTTCTATTCACTCATTCGTCTGTCTGATGAATGAGTGAATAGATGAAATTCCCGTTCGCATGTCCAGGTGTTTCACTGGGCATGTGCGGGAATCTCACAGTCTGCCTAGTGTGGGCTGATGACGTGTCCCTGAGGGACTTCATCTACCCACACAAAGATGGCTGCGCCATGAATCAAGATCGGGGCAGAAAATAAGGATTAAAAAATAGGTAATGTGGGGGGCTTAGGGGCATTTTGGGGTGACTAGTGGGTCAATTGGATGTAGTGGAGGCGGGAGAGAGGTTAAAAAAAAAAAAAGAATTCGGCACGACAGTGCCGCTTTAATATTTGTGCAGACTGACATCTAGTGGTCATATTGGTAAATAGCACAACCAGCTCCAACAAAGATACTTGGCATCTTTTTATCATATAATGTGTTCCGTAATAGGGTCAAACCGTATATAAATATATTTGAGAACTCAGTTACTTCAAGCACCATGACCAGTTCAGTGATTTGAAGTCTGCATGCGCAGGGTTTTGCTGTGAAGCATTGCATATACCGAGTGTAACCCCTTGGTTGCCAGAGGGGCAACTCCTCCTCCCGCCGATTCATGTGGTGTCATTAGGCAATAATTAATACTCTCAGCCAATGAATGGTGACTGCATTGGTTTCTGCAGAATCCTGAAGCACATCACCACAGCAACAGGGAGCCTCAGAGCTCTGTGGGGGGGTCAGGTAAGTGGGCAAACCATTTCTAAATGGGTTTGGAACTTGACCAGGGTATTCCTGGTATCATAAACCAGAACAAGCTCAAATTAATCTTTATTATGGCATTAGATAAATAATCATTACAAATATGCAAAGCAATAAGAATTTAAAATAAATATACAAAATCTCCAGAATATTAATAATTTCATTATTTTTAATAACCCCTAGGCTCACCCTAAAACAACCTGCTAACTCCAAGCTCCCTCCATCATCTTAAAAAACCCTAACACAAGGTATTTTTCTAATGCTAACTATCTCTATAGCACTGTAACCCTAAGCCTATACAGCCCTAAATCTAAGCGTTCCATTCTAAACACACCACTAATAATATAGTCAGTCTGCAACACCAGTGACCGTCCTTCAGTTTAAAAAACCAAACCAAAAAATAAAGAAAAAAACAAAACAAAACTGTGCCATTGTAATCAGGATTCATTTGACTGCTAAAAATTTTTTTTTAAAAACCAAAACACACCTGTGTTTTAAAATTAAACTACTCCTGCTACTGCTCTCCTTTTTTTCAGATGCCTTTCATTGTAGTGGTTTTGCCCTGCCTGGCTGAGTCTTGCGGTGCCTCCTATCTCCACAGATGCAGTTGGGATAAGGTGATGATAGGGCACTGTTTTGTTCCCACACTGAACCACTGTCACCAACACTGCAGACAGGATATGTGGGGAATATTTCTTCTTCTGAGGGTAAAAGGGGTGAGTGGTATTTGCAGTTCTCTATTGCCTACTCACTTTTCCTGAGAAAAAGAAGTGACTTTGCAGAAAACAATAAGGCCCTATCAGCTTCTCTCAATTGTGTCTGTGGCGGTAACAGGTGTAGCCGCACCACAATGGTCAGCCAGGAGAAATTTAATTTGAAATATGTTTTTATTTACTGCCAGATTTTAGAATACTTTTAACTAATTTTAAAACAAAACAACTTTGAAAGGAGAGGTGAGTGGCCACTTCTTGATTGGATCTCAGCTAGCAGATAATAACGCGTCAAGTTTTAAATTGAAGTATTGGGTAACCCAACTTGGAGAGACTGGTCTTGAGGAAGGCTATTTGCTCCATTAGCTGCATGGACATTTGTAAAAGTTCTGAATTCAGAATGTTCCCTGCAAGAGAAAACACCTGCTCACTTTGGGCAGTGGTCAGTGGACATTACAATAGATGCTGGGCAACCAGACACAGAGCAGCTGATACACTCTTCTTCTCAACCCAATAATGCATGCCTCTTATTCACAGGAAATCACAGACCTAGCCAATAAGTCTGTGCCACCGTTATTTTAGGTTGCTGGATCGGAATAGTGCCAGTTTCCCCATAATATTAGGATTACACAGGAAACTAGCAGTAATTCAGGGCAGTTAACAACTCATTCAAGAATAAGAGCTTGAATTCATCTTTCATTAATTGGACAACTGCAGTTACATCAGTCTAAAGTGTGCTGTTAGGAGCAACTTCCCCATTTTTCAGGAAGGCATCCATCTTGCTTATAAGACGAGTACACAAGGGGATGACCGTTCCAAACTGGCATGACAGTAGCTCAAAGTTTCTGTCACATCCCTAAATGGGTTAAAGGAATGCTAAAGCATTAGAAATACAAACCTGTATTCCTATTGCTTCAGTACTCATGTCCCTAGGTAGGATTCCCCCCCAAGTTGTCATTTGGAATAAAAATGATAAAGGCTATTTACTTATCTTTTTCCAGTTGAATGCCTCCCCTTTTCCCACAACATCAGGAGGAGGAGGCATCCTTCTCTGGAGTTGGCCCAATTAAAGGAGCATTGGGCACCAGATACACATGCATGGTGCATGGGCAAAATATTCAGTTCAGTTCGGCACTTGCGAAATTCGGGACTTCGGTTTGGCTCCTCCAAAAGTCGGGAATTTGGAAATCCCTATCCCTAATCCCAACCCTACTAGTGTTAGGAGTTAGGTTAGGGGTAGGGTTAGATTCCTGTCATCATTCCCTTAATTTTCCCTCCCTCTCCTGTTTATCCACTTTTCAGAAATCCGAAGCACTTAGGCACTTCTAAAATTCAGCACTGCCAAAATTCGGACATGCAGAAGCATCTGATAATAGGGTTGCATTTTGTGTGTATAAGGAGCAGTCGAAGCTTGCAGTGTTGCGGCTTCCTGTGCCCCTGCATTGTAAGCTCTCTGGCTTTAGTTGTAGCATAATTTGCAAACAAAATTAATTTGCTATAAATAAATTTAATTTGCAAGTATGCCAATCGTTTATACACAATTGTGGGGTATGGTTGCATAGCCTGCCAGTCGTGTATACATGAGTACTGGTGTGAATGGGTCATTGGAAACAAAAATGAGTGTGGGGGACGGGGGTGACACTGTGAGGAATGGGAGTGGTAGTGTGTGGGAGGTGGGTGATCGTGTGTGGGAGGTGGGTGATCGTGTGTGGGAGGTGGGTGATCGTGTGTGGGAGGGGTTAATACTGTGAGGAAGTGGGTAATACTGTGGGACAGTGGGGTGATGGTGTGTGAGAGGGGGTAATACTGTGAGTAAGCGAGATGGTGTGTAAGAGGCTGTGATGATGTGAGGGCGGAATAATGTGAGGGAGGGGGTAATAGAGTGTGGGGGATACTGGGAGGAAGAGGGTAATACTTTGAAGAGAGGATACGGAGAGGGAGGGGGTAATAACTGTGAGGGCGATACTAGGAGGGAGGGGTGATGGTGTGAGGGAGGGGGGTAATACTCTGAGGGGGAAATTCTGCGGGGGGATACTGGGTGGGAAGGAGGGGGTAATACTGTTAGGGGGGATACCAGGAGGGTGTGAAGGTGTGAGGGGGTATTGGGAGGGAGTGATGGAATAAAAGAGGGGGTATACTGGGAGGGAGTGATGGTATGAAAGAGGGGGGATACTGGGAGGGAGAGGGGTGATAGAGTGAAAGAGAGGGGGATACTGGCAGGCAGGGCCGCCATCAGGGGGTGATAACCATGACGGTTGTCACGGGCCCGGCGGCCCTGGGGAACCCGGGCTCCTGGGCCCCATGTGGAGCGGCGAAACTGCCGCAGTTGCATCTGCACCGGGCCCATCAGGTGGCCCAAGCATTTAGGGACACCCGATGGGCCCTATATCTTCAGGGGCCCGGTCAGCGCTGCGGCCGTGTAATTGCGCGACCGGGCCCCTTTAAAAAAAAATTGCGGCTACACCGCAAGTGCTGCTGGGAGGAAGTGACGGCCGGTCACTTCCTCCCAGCTTACTCCGTGCGGGGGGAGAGGGAGAGCAGAGGCGAGGACACCAGAGGCATCCGCTCCCATCATCCCCAGCCACACTCCTGCAACTTAAAGGTAAGAGGAGGGTGGCTGATAAATGAGGTGTGTGTGTGTGTATATATATATATGTGTCTGCAAGTATGTATGTATGTCTGTGTGTGTGTCAGTATGTATGTGTGTATGTATGTCAGTATGCATGTATGTCTGTATGTATGTGTCTATCTGTATGTGTGTGTGTGTATGTATGTATGTCAGTATGTATGTATATATCAATCAGTATGTCAGTATGCATGTATGTCTGTGTGTGTATATGTCAGTATGTATATATCTATCTGTGTGTGTGTATGTCTATGTATATCAGCATGTATGCCATTATGTATGTATGTATGTCTGTATGTCAGTTTGTCAGTATGTATGTATGCGTGTCTGTCAGTATGTGTATCTGTATCTATGTATGTGTCTATATGTGTGTATGTCTGTTTCAGTATTTGTGTCTGTTAGTATGTGTGTATCTTTCTCTGTGTCCTTTTGTGTCTGTGTGTGTGTGTGTGTGTTTGTATTCCTGTGGGCGGGATTTGGAGGCCACAGGCGCTCTCCTCCCAGGCAGATGGCACGGAGGGGCCTCGCACCCGGCGTCATACTGACTGAGGACCTGACACAGTATGCCCCAAGGTGGTTTAGGTGGCCGCCTAAACCACCTTATTAGAGAGCCACCTCTGAGGCCATCTATCTAAAGCTTGCCTGAAATTGGATCATGCAACAAAACAATGTTCCCAAGCACAACAGCAAAGCTACAACAGAATGGCTGAAAAAGAAAAGAATCAAGGTGTTTCAATGGCCCAGTCAAAGTCCAGACCTCAACCTAATTGAAATGCTGTGGCATAAAGAAATGCCAGCAAACCTCAATAAACCGAAGCAACCTTGTAAGGAAGGCTGGGCCAAAATTCCGCCTCAAAGATGTGAGAGATTGATATAATAATACAGAAAATTATTACTTTAAGTTATTGATGCCAATGGTGGTTCATCAGGCTGTTGAATCATAAGGTGTACTTCAAAATTGAGAAGCTACGTTAAATACGGCTTTATATTTGTTAAATAAATCATGACACGCTGTGTCATATATCATGTGTTGTTCATCTAAGGTTGTGAACCCTTAGAGAGGGTTCAGAGAAGGGCTACTAAACTGGTTCATGGATTGCGGGATAAAACTTACCAGGAAAGGTTAAAGGATCTTAACATGTATAGCTTGGAGGAAAGACGAGACAGGGGATATGATAGAAACATTTAAATACATAAAGGGAATCAACACAGTAAAGGAGGAGACTATATTTAAAAGAAGAAAAACTACCACAACAAGAGAACATAGTCTTAAATTAGAGGGACAAAGGTTTAAAAATAATATCAGGAAGTATTACTTTACTGAGAGGGTAGTGGATGCATGGAATGGCCTTCCAGCTGAAGTGGTAGAGGTTAATACAGTAAAGGAGTTTAAGCATGCGTGGGATAGGCATAAGGCTATCCTAGCTATAAGATAAGGCCAGGGACTAATGAAAGTATTTAGAAAATTGGGCAGACTAGATGGGCCAAATGGTTCTTATCTGCCGTCACAGTCTATGTTTCTATGTAATTACCTCAATTTTAAGACCTGTTAAGGAACAGATGATTATTATGTCCTGAAGTGTAAAACCATAGAATTCAAAGAGGGTGTACTTTCTTTTTTCCATGACTAGTGTTTCTCTCTGAACAGAACAGTTTTCAAAAGTTAGAAGAGAGAAAAACCCTTATAAATGTTGAAAAGAAACTTAGTGCTGAAAAAGGTCCACAGTATTAAGAAATCATTCCTGCAAAATCAACTAGGTTTATATAAAGCTGAAAATCCCAAAATAGATTTAAAAAAAAAAAACCTACAAAAACATACAATACTGTTTTTCTGACTGGGGACTGCTATTTGGATTTTTTGATTATTGATTGTGATTGGAATTCCAGTTATAATTAAAATACAGTGGGACCTCGGTTTACTAATTTAATGCGTTCTCCGGGACGTTTCTTATTGCACAAAATTTGTAAACCGAAACGCGGTTTCCCATAGTAATGCATTGAAAGCCAATTAATCCGTTCTGGAGGTCAGAAAAAAGTCAAAATGAGCTGGAATGGAAACCAACCCACAATGCAGAACACACAATAAAAGGCATGCAAACGACAAAGCTCAGCTCCCTACCTTTCCACAGCTTGAGAAATGCACCAAAAAGTCCCAAAACAACTGCAAACAATTTCCAGAATGGCTCAAAAATATGATGCAAAATCCACACCAACACCTCCTCACTGGGTAGCACGCCACGTGCTACCCACAGGCTCCAGCATGCAGGGGGCAGTGCTATAAACCTCCCAGGTGCAATGCATCCTGGGGAAACTTGCTTTGTATTGCGAAAAAAATTGTAAACCGAGGCATTATTTTCAATGGATTTTCATTTGTAAACCGAAAAATTTGTCATCCGAGGTCCCACTGTAGTTTGAAAACACTAAACAGCCAGTCATAAAATCACTCTCCACCCCCCAATTTAAGAGAAATGTGAGCATCACATGCAAGAATAATTTACCCCTGAGAAGTGTCAGTCCTCCTTTAAAATATAAAAACAAACTATTCCAGCCCATTGCAATGATTTCCACCCATTGAAGAAATCTGTGCTTTTGGCTTCTGCTGCTCTGGAAACACAAAGAGATTTTTATTTTATTTTTTAATCAGTGAGTTTTCATGGCTTTGTTCCTAGGAGTACATGGAAAGTAAACTTGACTCAGGGTGTGGTAGCTCAACATGTTATTAGTTAAACAAATCTAGCCCTTAAAACATTTCTCTGTCCAAAAAGTGATACAAATTTTAAATAAACGATCAAAATGAAGAGAAAGTGCTAACCATAATTTGAAAGAACAATATTATGAAGATAGTAACAGAGCAGTTTTTGTGAACCGTCATCAGAAAAATGATTGCCTTTCAAATTTGTGGAAAGATAGCAACCTGTAAGATGACACTTCAACAATATGCTCCAGGCTGCAACCACTATTCTTAGTTGTGATGGTAGATCTAGTCCCTATCTCTTGGACTGCATCTACCATCACAACCCTTAGCATGACTTTAAATTTGTAATCCTCATTTAAAAAACAAAACAAAACTTAAGTCATTAAAAGGTGACTGTCAATGTTAACAGCTGGCAACTCTCACTAAAAATTAACTAGGGGCGAGGCCTGACCGCCATGCTGTGTGGTCACAGGAACAAACGGCTCCTGCGTTTTAATCTAAACTTACGCTTCTTACTAACCTACTGGACGACAGGATACTGCTGTTCATGCTTTAAAATGGTGCTGGTTCTGGGGCTGTGCATGTAAGTTGCCTCTTGGTCCCTGGGAGGGAGTTCCACAGTCTTCGTGGCTGAGGCCTACTCGGGCAGTGAGTGGGGTGGATGGCCGTCGCCTCGCTATCCTGCCTGGTCGCTGCAGGTCGGAGCCTCGATATTGCACATCGCCTGCCCTGTTTCCCACCCTTTGGGCCGGGGGGGGTGATCCTGGTCCTTGCCCCTGGGGGATCGACTGTTCCTACTGCCCAACTCTAGGCTGCTGGATAACTTCTAAATGGTAGTGAAGCCCTATCTAAAATGGCTACTACCACATGCTTGGCCGATATCAGGGAGCAAACGGATTATGCCACTAAGCCACTGGGCTTAACATGGTCTTAGCGGACTTTTGGAGAAACCTGAGTCTGCTGCATGGGGGCAAATTCACCTCCCACCCCAGGACATGCCAGCCGGGATACTTCAAGCAACATCAACTGTGGTCCTGTGAGGAGCATGAAGGTCTCTCAGACACTTCAGGACAGCTACACTGCATGACCCATCTCAAAATCCTCATCAGTCTTCACCAAACATCCTGCCCCGCATCATCTGGAAATCACTCTGGCTAATGATGGGACTATCCTGTTTGTTGGCAGTAACACTGAAGTGGGACTATGCTATAACTACGGAGGGCATTGGCTGACTCCTGCTGACCTACTGTCGCTCACATACAAGCCTCTAACAAGGAGAAATGCTTTAGTTTAGTTTATTTCTGTTGATGAACCATGCACTCCTAATAGCCTCGTGTCGCTGTGGGCATTTTGGGTCCCTTGATGAGTGATACTTATTTCAGCATGTCTGTAAACATGTGCAAAATGCCAGCTTAATTTTAGTTACAATGAATAAGCATTCAGAGCTTTAGACTACCATTATATGCTTGTCTTCCCTCAGTATTAAAGGACCACTATAGGCACCCAGACCACTTCAGCTTAATGAAGTGGTCTGGGTGCCAGGTCCAGCTAGGTTTAACCCTTTTTTCTATAAACATATCAGTTTCAGAGAAACTGCTATGTTTATAAATGGGTTAATCCAGACTCTAGTGGCTGTCTCATTTACAGCCGCTAGAGGCGCTTCCGCGCTTCTCACTGTGATTTTCACAGTGAGAAGATGCCAGCGTCCATAGGAAAGCATTGACAATTTGGTGGCAATACCCTAAGGGGGTTAATTAACCACCAATGCTTTATGTTGCAGGGCAGACCTGCAAGATTAAGATGATTTGTCTAACTTTTTCTTTTTTTTTTAAATATATAGATTTTTGTTGTTGTTGTTTTGCTTCAGGTACCTATGAACATATGAGACTTTTCTATATCAGTAATTTCTTAATTATGTATGCAAATAAGATCAAAACTAAATTACAGGATCTCTTATGGTTAAACAGAGTAAATATAAAGATTATAGAGAACAATAGAGTTAGGAATGAGGTCTAATAGTGTTAAAATATGGCTCATTACTTTAATATCCTAACATTTAATGTGAATGGCCTTAATACGCCCCATAAAAGGAGATTGTTGTTCCAGCAACTGCATAAATCACAGGCGGCAGTTGCGTGTTTGCAGGAAACACACTTTAGTACTCAGAGATCCCCAGCTCTTACCTCGCCTAGATATCCGCTTAGTTATCATGCATATGCCCAAAATAAAACAAAGGGAGTGAGTACGCTGTTTCATGTAGACTGGCCATTTAAATGTGATAGCGAATATAAAGATAAGGAAGGCAGATTACTTATTCTGGTGGGTTCCTTAGGTGAGGAAAAAGTAACAATAGCAAACACATATACACCAAATAATAATCAAATAAGCTTTTTACAGAAAGCGATAAGACGCATTGAGAAATATAAACAAGGCAAATTATTTATGTGTGGTGATTATAACTGCACGTTGGATCCAGAGTTTGATGTTTCAGGAGATGAGACACCAACCATGAGAAAGGCTGCTTTAAGTGCCAGATTAGCAAAATTAATGATAACTCACAGTCTATATGATACTTGGAGGGCTAAATACCCTCAACTTAGAGATTATACGTTTTATTCAGCGGCACATTTAAATTACTCAAGGATAGATATGTGTTTGACAGATGCATCTACACTCCAGTCTCTAGTAAAGGTAACCATAGATCCAATAACATGGTCAGACCACGGCCCAGTATGTTCCATATTTGACACTGCATATCAGGCAAGAGGCAAGGGTTCATGGCGCTTGAACGAAGCATTATTAGATAATAAAATGGGAGAAAGAGAGATTAGGAATACAATCAATCAGTTTTTCAAAGAAAACACTAATCATGATACATCTATAGCAGTTACATGGTTAGCTCATAAGGCTACAGTGAGGGGAATACTTATAAAACAAGGTGCAATTGCAAAACGAAAATTTGGGGAGGAAAAGGAAAAACTCTTTAAATCTATAGGAGAAATAGAGAAACAATATAAACAAACTTTAAATAATTGTCTACGAAATAAACTCTTTAAACTTAAAAAACAATTAGAAAATTTTGAATTGAAGGTAACGGAACGTAATTTGAGAAAATCCAAATTTAAATATTATACACAGGGTAACAAAGCGGGCAAATTATTGGCATCTCAAATTAAACAGAAGCTAACACAATCAAAAATTCCATATTTGGTAAACCTAAAAGGTGCAAAACTGATAGATCCAAATCAAATTGTTAATGAGTTAGCATTATATTATGAATATCTATATAATTTGAAGGAGGATTCAAATACAACCCAACCTACATTAAATATGATTTCCACTTTTCTAAGAGATGTTGAACTACCCTGCGTGACTCGGGAAGAGGCGGAGATCTTGAACAAACCTTTTACAGAGGAGGAGGTCTGGGAAGCTATAAAAACAACTTCAAAACATAAAGCACCAGGCCCAGACGGGTTTTCTAATTATTATTATTTTAAATTTGCAAAGGAACTGATCCCAAATCTAACAATACTTTTTAACAGCATTTTAGATTCAGGTGAGGTACATCCGGAAATGTTGGAAGCTATTATAATAACACTACCAAAACCAGGAAAGCCACCGACCAGCTGCGTTAATCTAAGACCTATATCTTTACTTAATGTAGACATAAAATTATTTGCAAAAGCAATGGCACTGAAGACTGAAACCACTACTGCCCAAATTGATAGGGGCAGAACAAGCAGGCTTTGTGCCTGGCAGACAGGTGGGGGATAATACCCGTAGATTTATAGATGTACTGGAAATAATGAAAAGACAGAAAACTGAGGGATTATTGCTGGCACTTGACGCGGAAAAGGCGTTTGATCGCCTACATTGGCAATACATGGAGAAGGTGCTAGATAAATTTCAACTCCCAAACAAATTTAAACAAGGCATGCTCTCTTTATATACAAATCCAACGGCTAGAGTTATTAATTCAGGTTTTGTGTCTCGTAAATTGCACCTATCTAATGGAACAAGACAGGGATGTCCCCTCTCTCCATTGATTTTCATTATGACCCTTTAACCCCTAGTACATAAGATAAATAAACAAGTTCAAATAACAGGGTTAAATACTCACATAGGACCTCAAAAAGTGGCTTTATTTGCGGACGATGTCCTGATAATACTAACAAATCCAGATAAAACAATAATGCCGCTGATGGATTTATTGAAGGAATATGGTACAGTGTCATATTATAAAAATAATATTACTAAAACTCAAGCTTTACCTATTAATATGCAAGAGTCAACTATTCGAAAGCTGAAAGATGAATACCCATTTGAATGGAGAAATAAATCTATAACATATCTTGGTATTCATCTTTCAGTTTCAAAACAGGAAATGATAAAAAATAACCATATCAAATTATTAAGAGAAGTACAAGATACACTAAAACACTGGGACAAGAGCACCAGATCATGGGTGGGACGGATCAATTCTGTTAAAATGTGTATAGTACCACAGATTTTATTTCTTTTTAGATCCATACCAATAATGATCCCCAAATCAATAACAAATTTTCAAAAAACAATAAATGCTCATATTTGGAAACGCAAACCCCCAAGAATATCACTGAATACAATGAGTTGCAAAATGACAGAGGGTGGTATGGGAGTACCGCACATTCAAAAATATTATATAGCTTCCATACTGGCACAAACAGTAGCACTAATAGATACATCTAGTATACCCCTATGGCATGTATTAGAACAATCCATTGTCCCACAATATGAGATATTGGATCTCATATGGACAACACATCGCGCTCATCTTAGAAATTATAATTTCTTATCCACAACACAAATAGCTCTGAGGTTGTGGAGCTACTGGGCCCCTAAACTTCTGGGGAAAGGCAATTATCTTTACTATGGAACTCTGCAAAGTTTAACTTATTACACAAAAGATTTAAATATAACAACATGGAGAAAGAAAGGATTAACAAAAACGCGTTATCTAATAGCAGGCTCAGCTATACATCAATTCCCAGATATAGAAATTAAATACGGTCTTCACAACAGGGAACTCTATACATATCTCAGAGTGAAACACATTTTAATGAAACTTCAAGTGAAGGAGGTGGAAAATTCTAGGGTGAATGACTTTGGAAGGCTATGCTTGGGGAGTCGACCCCAAGATAAACCTCTATCAATAAGCTACAGAGGAATATTAAATTTAACAAAACCAGATAAATTGCCTTTCATGTTAAATTGGGAGAAGGAGCTAAACAACGAGTGGGAGCCCTTTAAATGGTATAGGGCTATGAGATCAACTAAGGCTGCCACACATAATATACAACACATAGAAGCAACATACAAAATGTGGCTACGGTGGTACATGACGCCACAAAAACTGGCGCAAATATATCCAGAGAATGTGGGGACATGTTGGAGATGTGGGGAAATGGAAGGATCTATGACTCATATATTTTGGCAGTGTAAAAAAATTATTGATGTATGGAAACACATACAACAATTAATTTTTAAAGTTACAAACACATTGATACCCCTGCAACCAGAAATATTCCTACTACACATTATGCCAGAGAGAATATTGCCACAAGAAAAAGTGTTAATTATACATATTTTGATGGCTACAAAAAATGCTATAGCCAGTTTATGGAAAACAAAACAGGTACCATCATTAAGTATAATAAGAGAAAAGATCTCTACTACTAAAATTTATGAGGAAATGGCATATAGGCTAAAAGGCAAACAACACATTTATGAAAAAATTTGGGTGAGGTGGAAATTAAATGAGAGGAAATTAAAAGAAAATAAGGGGAATGAAACAAGCAAAATAGTCTCATTAATACAGATGGTAAATAAAATTTAGGTGGTACAAAACAAATGAAGGAAGAGGGAAGAGAAGAGAGACGAGGGAAAGAGAACCAGAACAGGAAAAAACAAAACCAAAAAAAAAAAACAGATTGATATAGACGTTTGATATGGAATTCTATAAATTAAATAAAATTGGAAATGTAGACTTATAAAAGGAAGAATTACTATAATTGTACTTTTTTATTTTTTATTTATCTTTATATATATATATATTTTATTTCTTTCTTTTCTTTTTCTTCTTTAGAGAGGGAGGGATAAAAATTTACTTTATACATATCCTGATTCTTGTAATAAATTATCTCAGAGGGAAAAGGAGAAAGAAAAGAAAAAGAAAGGGAGAAAGGAGAAAAAGAGAAAGGAAATGTTTATTGTAAAAAATAATTCAGTGAAAAGATATAAAAAGCTGTGTTACTGAAGCCGAAAATAAGTTAGATGAGATTGTAAAAGATAGTAATAGAATATCTCGAATTGTGAATGGTATCTCTCTATTTCTGTATATTATTTTTTTTATTTTTTTTTATTTCTATTTTTATTTTTATTTTTTTTTATAAATTTTTTCATTTTTTTTTTGTTATACTGATGCACAGTGTTGTGTT